AGCTATATAATTTTTTACAAGCCTAATATTTATATAATACAGAATAGAAAAATATTGATATTTTTTAATAATATAAATAGAATTTTTTTAGAATTAAGTAATTTCAAACGATATACATATTCAAATCAATCAGCGATAATACAATCTTCAATCATATCGTCATCCATTTTTCTGTATATAGACGTTCGACGTTCTTTTCATATATTGCAGATTGTTCAACGCTTCCCATTACGGCAGCAGCAATCTCGCCTCCAATCTGACTTCCACTAATCTCAGTCTGGGCAGTCTGGGCAGCGTCAGTCCAACCGCGTCAAACATGAGCGCCTGCATGGTGCAAGGTGGTGCATCCTCCGGAGTACCGGTCTCGACGGGGATGACGCCTCACGTGACACCGCATAGTCCCAGCGAGGCAAAGAGCGGATATCCTTACTTGGGTGGCATCGATTCTCAGGTTTGCGGAAGAGTTCACTGAATTAAGTCTGTCACGAGGAGCGATCGAACCGATTACACGCACTTACAAATGCATCGGGTAAGAGACAGCGACTCGAGAAGTCGCTTCATCGTTATTGTTATATTTATCTTGTTTTTCTTGAGCGAACTTAATTAAATCGTGTAAAAATAAAAATTGGAATTGTGTAAAGATATATATGCGCGCGTCGGAAATATTTCTGTTCATGTATAAAAAATACGCTTCTCATATTTTTTGTTGTTAAGTTATTATTACTTATTTGTTATCACGTTGTTACGTCGAAAAATTTGAAGATCATTCTTTTAGCAACGATTTTTATGAAAAATATTCCAACATCGTTTCTAAAATCATATATAAAAAGTATCATCTTTGTAATATAATTTCTAGTTAAATTAAATGTAAAATGTATGTGTGTTACATAGTATTCGCAAAATTTAGTGATGAAAGATTTTTTTATTTATAAATATATATACTTTCTCGGTATATAATCTTTATATATGCAACCCCCCGATTGTGATGTAAATATTTTATAATCGCTCAGTACTGCTATTGCTAGATAATACGTTCAGGCTTTTCCGCATTAACGCTATTGCATATTTATGATAGAGCATAAAACTTACTTTAATTAACTCTAGATTCATAGATGTAAGCCGCACACTCTGACTGAAGTGTCGTAATTTAACGCGAAGATTTATTCGTTAGAGTGATCAGCACTTACGGGCAATAAGTTGTGCAACAACAATGCCTCCGAGATGCTTTACCGCTTTAGAATTACTTTATTATAGTAACGATATATAATATAAATGCATCTATATATACATATTTACGTATGTATACTCGAACATATTTTACGGATAACGCTGTATATACATATATAGGTAGTAGTAGTACGAAGCGTAGAAAAGTTACTTGCAAACGTATTCTTATGACGATCGACATGGTGATTTTATCCAACAACTTATCTAATTGGCCAGTTACGTAAGTTTATTGTATATAATACACAGAGCGTTTCGCCGACGCAACAAATGTATCTGACTTGTATAACGCACTGTTATATATAATAAATGGATTTTATGGAAAATTTGCCATTTTCTTTGACATATTGTCAATATCTCACCAAAAATTTATTTGCAAGGTAAGTGCACAGTTGTTTATACATTTCAAATAAAAATGGAAATTTGTGAACATTTATTTAACAACCAATTTATTAATTTGAGATATATCAATCATCTCAGAAATATTATTTTTTATTCACTTTACCGTCGAAAAATGATGGTTGCCCACGACACTTAAAATATATTTAAAAAAAAAAACGATCAGAGCCAGAAAAAAGCGGCGCGTACATAATTCGCGATTGGTCCCGAATCGTCAGGCCTGTCTCCTGGTTTTAAGCCGCCCCCGCAAACCATCGTTGATCACGGGGCCCGCCGTTAGGAGACAATACGTGACCGGCGGGGGGGGCACCGTGGGGCTCTACAGGCCCCAAAGAGCCGACAATCGGGGGCACAGTGACACAACGAGCAATCAGCTTGCCGTATATCTACGGGCCCTGTCGCCACGCATTTGTGCCCCATTGTGTCAACGAAGTAGGTGGTCGGTGTCTCTCTCTCTCTTTCTCTCTTCCTGTCTGTCTTCAGAATCTTAGCACGAAATACCTCCGCACAATTCGCCCTATCGACCTTCTTCTGACTTCAACCCTTCGAATCTCGTTGAGCGAACGCGTTCACGGATATAGGATATAATTTTTGCACGCTCAATTTATTTAAAGGAACATTTATATTACGTGTGTGTGTGTGTGTGTGTGTGTGTATCATATTATATTCTATTTATATAGTTATTAATGATAAAGTTGTAAAATTATATTTTTAACAAGAATTTGCAAGTCATAAATATATATTTATTATAAAATAGTTTTTTAAATTGTAGACATACATATTTTAAAAGATGAGAAAGTAAAAGAAGATATATCTGATATAAATTTCTTGTATTTAAACTAATGTAATATGGATAGGATATTGTTACATGGAAGGATATTTTAACAATATTATTTTAATTACCTCATATTTAAGGTATATTCACACTAAATACGAATCAATAATTGTTTTTTTTTATATTTTCTTTCCTCTTTTCTTATTTCAATCATTCGTGTCAATTTATATCGACCATCAAATTTTACAAAAGAAATGCATTAAAATTCGTCGCCTGAAGAACCCGAACTATGTCTCACGATACTTTTTTCGGACCTCACATATCGTTTGCCTGCCTCCATAATTCGCCATTCAACGATCCCCGCCCATATTCCAACCCCCATAAGAGCGATATGGGGTTGTTTCAAGAGCGGCTCCTTTGAGACTCGCCTTCCTCTCTTTCTCATCACCAATCCCATCGAATATCTTCCCCCAATATGTTGCTCTCAAATTGTTCTGATCCTAGTGGCGATGTGGTAGGTCAAGAATTGGCACAGAAACGACATGGTCGCGTATTGTCATGAGAACTATCGTAAAGTACAAAATGCTAAACTCTTAACATTTTATTACCAATACATTTTAACAATAATTTTTTTATTTGGAATAATTTGGATTCGCTTGTAATGAAAAATATAATGTTCGCAAAATAAAACACTCTTTAAAAAAAAAAAACAATAATATTAATATAAGAAAAATGACTCTTTTAAAACATTTTTCCAGAATGATAAAATGTATATGTGTGTGTGTGTATGATAATTAAATATTTATTACAAGAAAAATAAGATAATTTTCTCTCACAAACGGTATATGAAGAAGTTGAAGCCGGATATTCTAAGTTGCAAATGTGTCTTGCAATAATTTATCATAAATGATTATATATTCTTTTATTTGTTAAATTTTTTTCAAAATTTGATTGCGTTTATTAAAGTTTGTTAAACGCACATTTCTTAATAAACGCCGTTTCTTACTCTTCGCTACGTTTTTCAACACGATAACCAGAACAGATGTACCGGCAACTGCAAAGCTGATAACTGTGACGACCTCCCAAGTTTAAACCGCACCCTCACGATAGAAATCTAAGGGTGTTGTTACAGCCAATGCGTGCGTGCGCGTACGTTGCGTGACTTCGGCCTATATGCATCACGATACATATCCGAAATGTATACGTTTCACGATACAAAATCACTTTATACGACGTAAAATGGCTAATGCGATTTTTTTGTGAGATTTATCCTGAACGCGCGAAATGATTAATTCATATAAATTTCCATATAATCTTATCGAGAATTATTATTTATAATTTTTGGAATATTGAGTATAATTTTGTTAAGTAAGAAAAATGAAATAATAAAATAAAATGTTTTTGACAGTTTGAGGATTATTTCTAAAAAACATATAATTCGGAAATTTCATATAAAAGCTAATCGTTTAATTACGCAAATTCCTTTCACTTTAACTGTTTTACGTCATTGCTTAAAAAATTTTTTAATGACTAGCATTATAAAATCATAATTTCTAAAATTAATTTATCGTTTTGTTTTATTCATTACGCTCTTTTTTAATAAAAAATACTTCTTGTCTCAATTAAATATATATAAAATTATATATAAATTTTTTTAATTTGTTCAATGATTAAAATATTTTTATATGTGATTTGTGTCTTTCTTTTTGTTAATTTGTCACTACTTCTTTTTTATTTTATCAATTTGCTTCGCAAAAACGAAACGTCGACTACCGTTGAAAAGGAAATAATATCAGACAAGCGAAAAACACACACGGAACCAGTTCACGCGGACATGATGGCTGTGCTCGCCCTTAATGGCAATACAACCCTCCGTGCGATGCATCGTCGGTCCTTTTCAACCAATGGGATTGCCTGCCGTGTTTCGAACAATGGTTTGCGCCCGAATAGATTAATCAAACTTAACCGAGCCAATGAAAGCCGTGCAAATCCCGCGTGGGGGATGCATGCGTGCGTGCCGCCCGTTCGTGCGACTGCAAACGAGCAGTTGCACGCTCGCCCATTGCATCCTAGCGAGATCATGCCGGGGAATTATGGGAATATATCGTGCAATGAGACTGCCGGCATCATGGTGTTGCGAATTTAACGACGATCTCGAATCGGCAGCGTTCAACAATGTCGGGAAGGATCTTTGATACGCGGACATCCCGATCTTTATTGAAGTCATTCATAAAATTCGAGATGATTCTTTTTCCAACGTGATGATCGTAGCCGTTGCAATCATTACATTTGAAACCTAGAATGGCTAAGTAAAATAAATAATATATTTACTTTTATAATAATAACTAAGCAGATACTAATTTATTGTTATACTTATACAAAGATATTTTAGAGTGAAATTATTTTTATAAATTCTCTCGCTTATTTTGTATTAAATGATTAATTATCATGTATATGTACGAGAAAAAAATTACAAAAATTGCCAGCAACAAAAGTTCGACTAACTTAGTTTCCGAGATATGTTTTAACGTATTTCGAAATGGCATCGAAGGGGCATGTGAAGAGCACAAAAAGCACGAAGAGGGGATTTTTTGGGGGGGCCGCTGCTGTAACCAGGAATAAATTTTTTTAATTTGTTCAATGATTAAAATATTTTTATATGTGATTTGTGTCTTTCTTTTTGTTAATTTGTCACTACTTCTTTTTTATTTTATCAATTTGCTTCGCAAAAACGAAACGTCGACTACCGTTGAAAAGGAAATAATATCAGACAAGCGAAAAACACACACGGAACCAGTTCACGCGGACATGATGGCTGTGCTCGCCCTTAATGGCAATACAACCCTCCGTGCGATGCATCGTCGGTCCTTTTCAACCAATGGGATTGCCTGCCGTGTTTCGAACAATGGTTTGCGCCCGAATAGATTAATCAAACTTAACCGAGCCAATGAAAGCCGTGCAAATCCCGCGTGGGGGATGCATGCGTGCGTGCCGCCCGTTCGTGCGACTGCAAACGAGCAGTTGCACGCTCGCCCATTGCATCCTAGCGAGAT